TGGTGAGGAGGTCAGATTTCTTCCCCGGCTTACCAAGTGAATTACTCTTTGTTGGAGAAACTCTATACTCCCTTTGGATAGTTCTGTCATAGAAGAAGTGGAAACCAAAAGGGCAGAAAAGAGGCTTCAGAATTAGGAGATTGGTTGAGGCGTGGGCTTAGATGCCTATTTAAAACTGAAATACCAACAAGAAATGTGATCTGGCGACTGAACTGGCATTCTTGACTGTAATTATTATATCTATGGGCCGTCTCGGCTGGGAGATGTTCTGGGCAATTGCTGTTCTATTTCTGGATGAAGGAGTAGGGATCAATATACAAGATAGAACTTTTGGTGTGACGGGACAGTTGTCCTATTTCAGGGTGTAAACATCATATGTTTTGGTCTCTGAACGGATAAACTGAAGCACCCAGTGCTCGACACTGATTCCTTGGAGTTTCTTTTTATGTACTTTTCAAAGAAGATACAATTGTAAGAGAAGATTGCTTGAATTGACTGCTGATGGTGATGTGATGGCATTGAGAGATTCACACAACCATCGCTGGGGCTTAGAGCCCCTTGCTTAGTGAGCTGCAGGCAAGGTGTCTCTGCTAATTTAGCTTTATTTTAGTGGATGGGCACCTTGCTGCTCCCTCATCTGTGTCCCATCGTGCAAGGTGCCCAGGACCTCTGTGGGAAACTCCTGAGAACGCTGGACTTTGGAGTCGGTGGGATCTGGTGGAGACTGTGCTTCATGGGATCTCTTGATTATTTTTTTTTTTTAATAAACAATTAGAAAGGCCTTTTCTTTCTTAAAGCGAACAATTTAAGAAAAATGCCAGCAATGCACAGTAAACAATATTAAAAAAACCCAAACCACCTCAAATCCTTTTAATATTAAATAAGTAAAGCAGCTTAGTACGCTTAAGCAAAAGTAACTAAGTCAAACTGATTGAAAAATAAAAGTGCTGAAAGATCGGGACCTGTGCGCAGCAAAGCACTGGGTTCCTTAGGAAACCTAGAAATTTACTTTTTTGTGTGCGTTCCCACTCGTAATTAGAAGAAGCAGAGCTAAGGAAACAGCAGTGAGTGGAAGGAATCCGAGGTTGCGTTGGTTGGTGATGCATTATGCATAAGCTCTGAATAACCATAACGTGGGAGAATGGGGGATTGTTTTGCTCCCCCATTGTTGTTCTGGGTGAACTTGACTACAGTCGTGGCTTGCGCTCTGCCTGAGCACACTGTGCTGTCCCCAAAACTCGCGTTTTTTCAAAGAGCAGGGAAGTGATTGGCAGGCCGCTGGCAGCGCCGACGGTGCACGTTCACTGCTGATTGCGGGCAATTGCTCTCATCTTTTGACAGTGTGGAAAGGTACAGCTCTGTCTCGGTGCGAGTCGGGCTTCCTTGTCAATCCTGTACCCCAGAAAGGTCAGTTAATGAGAGGGGGTCTTTCATATGGCTCTCCAAGGGATATCTACGCTGTATATTAACATAGGGCCTAAAATACAAGTTTTAATAAGTTGGTAGTAGAACTGATGATCAGAGGACTATTAATGGCTGTTGGATTTTCCCTTTTCCCCCATGTTTTCTCTGAAAGCGCCATGCAAGCTTGAGAAGGAAAAGTGTGCTGTATTGTGGACGTGACTCGTTTCGCTAAACTTACGTACGTGTGTTCTATTTTTAAGCCAGTAGTGAAAAATTTAAGAGTACGTGGTCTGTCTCTGAGATACAGTGCTTGGAAAGCATTTATTTTAACTTCATATGCTGCAGATTTATTTTGAGCAGCAGAATCTTCCTGGGAAGATTCTGTCCTTCAGTGCTAGTTTTTCTTTAACTGTGTACACCTTACTCTCTGTTACAAAAGGTATTTTTCTAGATCTGCACCATGCAGTTCCTGAGGTGTGAGGGTTGTGTGGATAAAAAGGGCTGTAGATAAACACAGTAATTTAGCAGTGACTAGCAGTAATCAAATATATAGTAGCCCTGGAGGAATTAATGAATTGCATTATAAATGTAATTAATGATTTACTCTTGCATTTCACAGTTGAAAAGCAGGTTTTGTGTCCAGAATGTTTTACCCTGCGTCTTTAAACCGTGGGAAGAGTTGAATTATAAAAGTTAATTTCAGCTTGAAAGCAAAAAGTTACAGCTCTGACCACATACTTAGTTACAAATAATTTACAGTGGCTGGAAATCTGGGGCTGTACTTATTTTCAGCTCTGGCAGTAGGACACGCTGAGGTTTATTTTGTATATGTGTGTTTATGAAAAAAGAAACCCAGCTCTGTATGTTTGTGTGTCTGTCAGGAGCCAGGGGTGTGCGCAGAACCTGATCTGAAACTCACTGAATTGAGTTGCAGTCTGTCCGTTGACCTCGGCGGTCTCTTTATTGAATCCTCTAGCAACATCCTCCATTGTATAAATGTACTAAAGGAAATCCCATCAACAAGTATTATTTCCCTCTGCTTCTTCCTTTCTCTTGTGCCACACACAATATAGGTAGCATAGACAGTCTGAAGATAAGCAGAATGGAAAGTGATGGATCATGAAGACAATATTGTAACGGTAAACTAGCTCTGTGGCAGCTGTAAATTAAACAACTCTGTCTTCTTGCTAGCACCGTGTTACACTTTACATTGATAGATGACTTTTTAAGATTTATTTTTTTCCTTTTCTGTGAAAAGGAGTGACATGCTGAGTATTGATTTCCACACCCCCCCTCCCCACCCAGTTCATTTTAATTTGCCGTTATCTCTAGGCAGCAAATAAAAAATTATTCTTTCTGCTCCTAGTGACTCATGGTGCTAACTACTGTCATTCTATAAACGGATTCAGCTAAGCTGGAATCTTTTTAAGTAAAAATCACTTGCATAAGAGCAATCCTTGTGAGAAGAAGGCAGGATATTATACAAGAAGCCCATTAATGTTAAGAAGGCTTCTGTTTATCAAAGCCACGGCTTCAATAGTTCTGAAAAGCACTTCTGGGAAGTTTCTTTAAAGTTACTACTGTTTTCCAAGGATAATTTATACACTTCATTGTATCACCTGCAAACCCAGACACTATATCTAATTTTTTTTTAAAGAAGGATTTTTCTGATACTGAAGTGCTGTGGGGCTTTTGCTGGAAAGATCTCTCTCCCTAATGCCCCTCCTTCCCCCTCTCTCCCTACCAGGAAAGCACTGTGATAAACTTTCTTCTGTCTATGATAATCCTTAAAACAATTTATTTTGAAACTGTTGGTTAGGCATGCTTCCCTTTTAGAAGTTCATCATGCTGAACTACTGAATTAGTGCCAGATCTCTGCTTTCCATACCTTCCTTGGATTGCATGTATTGTTGTTTCGTAACTATGTTGCCTGTTAGTTTGGCACTTCTGAAGATGCCTGAACTTGATTTGAGGGGTGTAAGAGTTTTGAAGCATGCTGCTACCCTGCTCTTTCAGCACTTACCCTCTCTGCTAACCTTTTTGGGTTTTTGAGAATATGAATTTAGCTATTTCCTGACACTTCCTCTAGCACAAGATGTGTAATATTCCTTCTTTTCCCACTAATAAGAAACTTTGTTTGGATAGCAAAGTTATGGCAGCGTTGCTGGTAGACTGATGATGTTGTCTCCTTACCTGTCCTTCCATCTCTAAGTGCCACCAAAGTCAAGGACACAGTTCTCTCTAGACAGCTATTTCTGCCCCCCTCCAAAGTAAAGACTATTTGGTGAGTGCGACTGGGATATTGCTAGCCCAGGAAAATAGTTGGCAGCTTAGAGAAATAATAAGGGGTGGTTTAAGAGTTTAAAATATGCGGTGGTGGTGCCAGAAATGTGGATGTTGCTCTGTGTCTGCCCTGTGCTTTTTGTGTGACTAAGTCATGCGATCTCACTGTTTGATGTTCCCACATACGAAGTGGGGTCCATGTGTTTCCTGCCTTGTCTGCCTCAGGGGAAACACCATAGTGTCAGTGACGTACTATGAGTTTGTCAAGTGCCGCGTGTAGCCCTGATCTAGGCAGGGTCCTGTGGGCTGAACTGTAGCGCAAATAAACATCGTTGGTCGATAGAATATTCTTGGATTGGTTCAGAGGGCCTTTGAAACACATGCTTGCTTCTTGAGGTGTTACTTGATTTGGAGCTTGTTTCTCCTGAACAGATTCTTCTTTTAATGTCCAAGTAGTTGAGGTCCTGGCTATGGCTTGGTCTGCTGGCTTTTTTTTTTTTCCCGGTTTGTTTTCTTGTAATGGAAAAAATGCAATCTCCACGTTAGTTTTGGAAGTGCAGATTATGTTTGCTGTGAAGCTCTGTACTTCCTTTTAATACTGATGCATTTTTCTTCCCCTTTCCCTCTTCACAGTGGGAGGAAGTAAGCATTATGGATGAGAAGAACACTCCGATCCGCACCTATCAAGTCTGCAATGTGATGGAGCCCAGTCAGAATAACTGGTTACGAACTGATTGGATTCCCCGTGAGGGGGCTCAAAGGGTATATATTGAAATCAAGTTCACGTTAAGAGACTGCAACAGCCTGCCAGGTGTCATGGGAACTTGCAAAGAAACTTTCAACCTTTATTACTATGAATCAAACAATGATAAGGAGCGTTTCATTCGAGAGAGCCAGTTTGCCAAGATTGACACCATTGCTGCTGATGAGAGCTTCACCCAGGTGGACATCGGTGACAGGATCATGAAGCTGAATACAGAGATACGGGATGTGGGACCGCTCAGCAAGAAAGGGTTTTACTTGGCTTTTCAGGACGTCGGCGCCTGCATTGCTTTGGTGTCTGTTCGCGTCTTCTATAAGAAGTGCCCGCTGACAGTTCGAAACCTGGCACAGTTTCCAGACACCATTACCGGGGCTGATACATCCTCTCTGGTGGAGGTTCGCGGCTCCTGTGTCAACAACTCGGAAGAGAAGGATGTGCCAAAAATGTACTGTGGGGCAGATGGCGAATGGCTGGTGCCCATTGGCAACTGCCTGTGCAATGCTGGCTACGAAGAACGTAATGGTGAATGCCAAGGTAGGATGAGCCATATTGTACTCTTCATTAGGGCTTAGTTGAATGCATAATTGAATCGGAGATGAGAGTAAATGGAGTAAAGCCAGTAATTAGCAGCCCCTGTGGGATGCAGTGGGACAGAGGGGTTTAATGAAGAAGTCCAATAGCTCCAGGTGGCAAGGCTAAGAATTATATAATGCAAAACAAATGATACTGCCATAATAGGCAGAAGGCGAAACACATTTTCTAGCAGGCGCCTAAATTTGAATTGGCTCACGATAGTCACCAAAATGCGAATGACTGCAAAACAGTGCAGTCAAGCTACCGTCGTTTAAAGAGACACATCTTTCAAGTTTTATCTGAAGTGAACTTTGTTAAGCACGGGAAACTTTGGCAAAGTCTCCTCTGGATAATGCGGTGGGGTAAGAACCAGTCTGGGAGGTGGGGAACAGGAGTTTTAGCTGGATTATTTTTCCTCTTTGGGAAGGGGAAGTCTTCAGTGTTTTACTTGTTGCAAATTTTTAGCACTAAATAACCCTTTGATATTTGACACTGCTGCCTTTGTTAAATATTTTCATTTCTCAGAGGGTCTCTATTGTCAGCTTAATAATAGAGGTGCTAGGATACTCTTAGAAATGCTAGAAGTCTCCACCCCACCCTCCCACACACACCATCCTGTGTGCTGCAGAATTAGGGATTAAAGTTTGTATAAAAGACAGATTATCCTAAAAAGAAAAAACCTCAAAACCTATGTTCTCTTCACCTCCCCCTTCTGGAAAAAGAAGTTGGAAAAGGTTGGGAAAGGAGAGAAGGGAGTTTATAAATAAAATATCTTTAGCCTTGGCTTCTAAACTCTTGCTCGTGTAAGCATAAATTAAGATCACTCAAAGGGAATCTTGCACAGGTCAGTGGGCTTAATTTTGCTGGGTGCTCAGCTCCTTAGTGGATTTGGACCGATGTTTTTGGAAAAGGTTCTTTGGAGCTAGATGACTTTGCTTCGCATCTTCTTGGTGTGTTTTTCACTAGGTCATTTTTTTCATCTTGAGACTGAGAACAAGATAGCAGAGCAAGTAACTGACTGCTTTTGTGCTAGACTCCCAAGAGAACAGTGTCTTTTGCATGTCCTACTTAATTTCTTTTAAATGATAATTTATGGTCAATATGAAGTTCATTATTATGCATTTAAATTATATAGCACTTCTTTTCTGCCAAAGCTTAAACTTTGGCCTTCATTTTTAGTGTTTTTGCTATATGGAAAAAGCCAAAGTGTGCCGTATTGGCAACAAAATTACCATGGGCTGTAGAGAACCGCAAGATGAGCAGCACGATGACAGGGCATCCTGGCTGGGGTAAATTACTCAGTGTTTTTGGAATCCGGTGAAATGGAAACTTGAAAACCTGTGTATTGTTAAACATGTGAACCTGTGGCTGTGGTACTGACTGGGTGCTGCTGGGGAGAGCTGGTGGTGGCTGGGGAGATGCTGTTAACTTTCCAGTAGCTCTAACTTCTGGGCAAAGCTTCTTGACACCTTTACAGCCTGGGCTGTGAGAGGAGGAAGTGAATGGGGGAAAAAAACATCTTGGTTTATTGCGCAGAGATTATCTGACCTTCTCCTAAAGGTCTATTAGGTCAGTACTGGGTCAGTCTGGACACAGATCTACCATTTTTTGGCGTTAGTGGCCCAGACGTGATGAGCTAATTGCCTAACAAATCCTGTATTGTTCAAGGGAAATCTCTTGAGGTTTTGCTGGTGGGCAGTGGTGATAGTGGGATGCTATTTTTAGTTTATTTTTGTGGTGTTGGACCAGACCTTGGGGACGAGTGTCAGTTTACGTATCAGTTCTCAGCTGCACCCAGGGAAGCTTGTGCTCGGGAAACCCAATTCTCTGTTTCCCAAGTAAAAAGAAGGTCGGGATGCCGTATTTACAAAGGAGATAGAAACATTTTGTCTCTTGGGCTCTGCAAAGTGCAGTTGGCCTGTACTAGTCATTTTGCGAGGATTGGAGCCAGTATGTAATTTGAAAGCGCTAAACCCATTTCATCAGTGGCTATTTGTGGTTTCCTTTTCTCACGTTTGCCATTCTCCAGCCAGAACAGTTTACCAGGAAGCTCCTCTTCATGAATTCATGAAGTTTACTGGAACTATGCAGCTTGCTCTCTGGTTTCCAGCGAGGCTGCTGAAGCAGTTTGGCCTTTGACACTGCTGAATGAGGCTTCCCCTTTTCTTAACTTCATAGTTCAGCAACTGTTCTGCTCCGGCAGGTTTTTGGAGGGGAGGAGGATGATGAAGTGATGAGGATTCCTGTGGTTTTGGTACAGAGGATTGGGGGTGGAGGGAGGGACTTTGAGTTTGGGAAAGGCTGGGAAGGGGTGCGGGCTGGGGCTGGTGAGCAGGTTCCACCTCAGTTGTTTTTCAATAGGTTGGCTGCGGCAGGACAGAGACAAGGAAAGGTCAGAGGTGGTCACTTTCCTCATCCATCTTCCCCTGCGATCCTCGGGTCAGAGTTAGGATTGATTAAGATCTTAAATGTTTGACAAAAGCTCGGTGGGCAGAAACAGTTTAGGCCGGTGGATGGGGGCTTTGCGCTTGTTGGGAGATCCGCGGGAGATGTCGGAGCTCCCTGTCCTCTCCTGGACCTGCCCCCTGCCGCGCAGTGCCGGGGCGGGCCAGCTGGCGCTTGGGTTGCCCTAAAAGCTGCTTCAGGTTTGCTTGACCTTCCGATTATTTAAATAATACATTTTCCTTGAGCTGCTTTTGCTTAATTTCTGATGTGTGTGTGGGAAGCGTAATGGGAAGCCACTTCACATCTAAAGTGGTTCCTGTAGTGGGAGTTAATGACTCTCTGACCTTGAACAGGATTTTTAAAAAATTGTGTTGGTGGTATGGAGGTGTCTGAATATGATGACAAAAACCTGTCCTTCCTCTGACTGCTATTTTTTTTTCTAGCTGACTTTATTGATAATTGTCTTACTGAATGTGTGTGTGTGTATATATATATTTACGCAAAAATGCAGGGCAGAAAGGGAAGGGAGCCAAGTATTTAATCCATATTTATTTGGGAAACTTCACAGGTGTGTCACAGGAGTGGTTCCACAAACTTGGCCTGGATAGGTAGAAATATTAGGTGAACAATGATTCTTTTCTTACAGGTGAATTTGTAGCTGTGAACTTGAAGCTTAAAAAAAAAAAAAACAACCAACCAAACAAACCCCAACCAACCAAAACAAAAAACAACACAAACCCAACTGGCTGGTGACTTTTTTTTTTAAAATTACTTATTTATTATTTTTTTTCCCCCAAATTTCTTGCATTAATAGCTACCCATTTAGGACAGCATAAATGTGGAATATTGTTGATGGAACATGAAACTATCCTAACTAGTGGCGCATCGCAAGGCTAAGGTAATTAGTGCTTCAGGGCAAAGTTGAGACATAAAGTAATTTTAAACTTTGCTTGTATGCATCATTGTCATGTAAATTGTTTTGTTACACATTATATTAATGTGGTTTGGATATAGGTACGATTTCTTTATAATAAAATGCATATCTTTTTAACTCAAAGGAGGAGGGGGGAAAACAAGCAGGAAAGGAGAAAAGACAGATTAAAGAAGCAATAGACTGTAGCCATCTGTGATGATTTTGATGCTGTGAAATTACAAATCTCAATTTTAGACCTGCCACTTAGTATAAATATGTGAGACGGTTGAGATTTTTACTGTGATATTGTAAAGGTTATGAGAGCCAACAGCTTTGTCTTCATCTACACTTGCTTTTTTGAGTTGTGAATCGGCCAATTGGCAGAAAATCCAGTGTCACTTAAAATATGGCTCAGTCCTGGTTTCATATCACTGCTGTTTTTAGAATTTTCCTTCGAACTTTGATAAGAGCATCCCTAAGAAGTAATAATTTGAATGATAAGATTCTTTTTATCTTGGAGGCTTTGAAGAGTGGCTGTGATCATTGAGAGCAGCAGTTCAGTTTACATCAGAAGGGTACAGTCTAATTACATTTTTTTTCCGTGATAAGATTTTTTGGATAGTGGGTTTTATAGGGGCGGGAAAGTGAAGTAATTTGTGTGTACTTTCCCATTTTAGTCATAAACAACTTTTTTTGTCAGAATAACACTGATGAACAGTCTGGCTGCACAAAAGGGTAATCAGAAGGGTGACTAAGACTGTGCAGATTTGAGATTTCAGAAGGATTTTTTTTCTGGTTGATTATTTTTGGCAGGGAATAAAAAAAATTCACAGACTCAACATGTTACATTTTAAAAGGAGCTCAGAAGACGGAAGCTACCAGGAGGGGCATGGGAGCGATACTGAAACACAGTCTGTCTGAACCAAATTTAGTTGGTTCTCTTCTCTGCTGAAGGAGTGATTTGGTTTTGTTATGTTCTCAATAGATCTTCCAAGGGTTGCTCCCTCTGATTTTTGTACTACCTGCTGCATTTCAAAATCTCCATTTAAATGTCATTGCAGGCTGTGTAATACTTTCCTCCTCCCTGGTCCCCTCAGAAGTCAAGCTACAGTTGTCAAGCAATTGTCCCTTCATGTATCCCTTGAAGAAGGGCTGGGATTGCTTCCTTCTGAATTCCCGACAAAATTTCTGGTACACAGGGGAGCAATATCTGGTCCTTACTCTGTGTGTTACTAGTAAAAGGCACAGTCCTCAGAATCAAAGCCAGATGAGCTGTTGTGGTGGTATGAATTTCGTGGCAGGTCTGGGTAGTCTTTTGTGGGGCATAAAATGACCATCTTCGGTGTTTTTGTGTGTTTTCAAACAAAACTTTCCAGACAACTCATCTTGTGTGTGACTTCAGTATTCAGATCTTGGCTGGGTAAGTGTTATTATCGGTCTAATAACACGCTCCACTGAGCTTGGTCTTTATTGCGCTTGTGAGAAGTGATTAAAGAAATGCTCAGCAGTACACTTCAGTCTTTTGAGACTGCATCAAAAAGCCCCCCAAACTTGTGAGATAAATATCTTATCTGGTTTCATTCCTTTATGCCACATCCTTTTG